TGAGGTATTTCCCTTTATGCACCTGACCTGAAACACCCTTGAAGTCTGAAGACTTGGACTCCCGCTGAACATAAACACACCCAAGGCACTTGCTGCCATAAAACATGACATAATATGTAAGCACCGGTTATCAAATTATTTCACTGATAAAGAAAAATGAGTGCACATTATTTCAGAGATAGAATAGAGCATTCTCAATTGATAAATCATAAATTCATCACAAAGTGAAAAAGAGCTGATCAACCACATCAAAAGAGCAAAAGGGAACACATTAAGAAAGCCAACAAACCTGATAAGACCAATTAGAGGAAGTCTAGCCACTGATCTCTTCAGCAATGAAATCCACAATTGAAATCAGAAGTTTAAAATAAATGTCAGAAATAATTCAAAATGTCAATAAAAACACGAAAAGTATAAATCAAAAGCATAAATTGTTACGAACATCGCAAACCTTAGCAACAAAACTTGGGAAGGAGGAAGACATGTGATATAAAATATCCAAGTACGACACATGATTGGATATTATCACACCGGGTGCTTCCATCTCTTTAGGTTGATCTTTGCCTGCCTTCTCACATTGAAAGAAAAGGATGAATTAGATCAAAATAACACACACACACATTGAAACAGAAAATCTTGCAAAAATGGTAAAAGACATAACAAGATCAGAGGCCAATGATGCTAAAATTGCTGAAACACATTCCATTTGTCCCTCTAGGAAGGAAGGAAGTACACGGAGTCCATGTCTCTCAATAAGTAAAATAGCAGCAAAACGAGGATCCTATAACCCAGAAAGTCTCGAAAACAAAAGGAGGGGAAAAAAAAATCTTCATCCTATTGCCACGGCTCAAGCGTCAAGTAAGAAGGAACAATGAAATATAAGCATAATTTATTTATTGCATCGATTAGAGGCCTCGACACCTCTGCTGATGTGTCTGGATGAGTAAATGATTGTTCAGCGCCGCCCCATCGTCATGGTGGCGCAGGTCCTCCTAGACAGATTACGCTCAGAGCATAACCGAAATCGTTCCAACCTTAGATTACGTATAGGATATTGGTATGGGAAGCATGTGTCCAGAAAAAGATGAAACAGCAAGTAACGAGTGAAGTTTCCATGATATTCCCGAAACTAAGTAGGACAAGCGTGATGATGATTAATCTGAAAGCAGAACTGATGGAAATGGAGTACCTCAGTGGCAGGCTTGTCATCAGTATTCGGAAACCGGTATGTCTCGCTTATCCAATAAAACCCAAGAACAAAAAGAATGAGCCTGGAGATGCTTCTCCCACTCTGAATAATCAGAGCCCTCCTAAGCCCAGCCATGTTCGCATAATGTTCCTGTTCTTCCTCTCGATTCGGGGGGTAGAATAGCGTGCAAATCCTACATATCAAGTAATAGGTGAATAACAAGGCGAAGCACATGGCCACCCTAATTGGAACCAGCGTGACCAATGCCAGCCCAAGCAGGAGCTTCTCCCTCGTCGGCAACTCTCCGCGTCCCATGATTCCATAAGCATCATATCTAACAAAGGCAGCGAATTTCTTCTCAAGGTCTTCGAGGTGGCCAGAAGAGACGTGGGAAGTTGGGTCCGGCTTGAGGAGGGGACGGTCGTCCTTAGCCGAAGCCTCATCGTGGACGGGGTCCGGATCTGCTGAACTGTCGAGTTCAGGCGGATTCGAATTCAGGTCTTTGAGTTCAGTCTCCATAGCTGAAGCCTTTGATTATAACAGCAAGTTCTTCATATTGGGATGTTGAGTGAAAATCAGAAACGTGATTTGCTTCAGAAGTGAATGGAGAAAACGGAAGAAGAATAGTGCCAATGCAGATGCAGCAGATCTGAGAAAAGCGCGTGCACTCGTCGTGATCGTTAAGGCTATCCCTCGGCGTTTAATTATCATATTTCATGAATAACTCCCATCTTTTTCAAGACAAAATTAGAATTATAAATTTTTTATTAAAATATGCTTATATGTTAGCAAATACTATAATTTCTAATGCTCCGTATAATTATTTTCATTAATAAAAAATAGTAAAGTATAAAAATAACTAATATTTTTATTAAGAAAACTGAAATTCAGTTGCGACAATAATTTGAAATTTTGATGCGGTGGGCGGGGATTTATAAATAAAGGACCGGCTAATTCAACTGTTTGTGGCGCCGTTGCAACGAGAATGTTCATTCTAAAAACAAAAAAAGAAATGAGAGGCGGCATATTGTTAATCCTTCAGTCTTGCGTTGGCAGGTAAATACTATTATTGGCTGAAAAGAGAGGGAGGGTTGGGTTGTAAACCTCTTGTGGTGTATTCTATGGAACTAGTTTCCATTATGCTATTAATAGTTCAAATTTAAAATTTTCAACTTATAATTTTAAAAAAATTAATCTTTTAGTCATTCAACTTTTAACTCATTTGTAATTTAGTCCCTCAACTATAACTCGGTGTGTCTTAGTCTTAAAACTTTTAACTTGCATATAATTCAGTCCCTTATCTTTTCAATTTTCATATTACGATCCTTCCCCTCCACGACTGTGCGTGGCAACATACTCTTTCAGCTCAGCTCCACCTAGTTTTTTCTTTTTAACAAAATTTAAACTAAAAAAAAAAACTAAAGTGCTAGAGAGGATCGAGAAGGGGAAAAAAGAAAGTTGCAGAGAAATTTACATTATTAGACTCAAGTTTTCTGGCGTCTGTCTTTTTGGTCTCTGAAAAACAAGACAACATCCCTATAGATGAGCCTAAAGATTCACAACTTCACACAGTGATGAAGGTGGACTGACCCAAGCTGCGGAAGAAGAAGGCGGATTCATCCAATTCAAGGTGTACCTCATATTTTCGACAGTGGCTTCTCAATTTGTTTAGCCGAATATGCAACCATTGCTTCCATTCCGGCATTGGTTTCGATGATACATCAATTCTTCTTCCCCTTGGCATCTTCTTTCAATTATCCTAAGTTACAGTAGAACTCAGGCCTTCCCATTAGTTCATCGATTGAGCTACCAAGCACTGATGTCAAAGAAATTGATAATAAGGAATCAATTTAAAGCACCAGTTCCCATCTGATGCATATAAGGATATTATCAAATGTGATTGTCTTGTTTTTCAGAGACCACAAAGACAGACGCCAGCAAGCTTGGGTCTGATGATGTAAATCTCCCAGCAACTTTTTTTCCCCTTCGTCGGCCCCCTCCAGCCTTTTATTTTGTGTGTGTAAATTTTGTTAAAAAAAAAAACCAAGTGGAGCTGAGTTGGAAGAGCATGTTGCCGCATAGAACTGAGTTGTGAAGGGAAAGGATAGTAATATAAAAATTAAAAAAGACAGGTAGACTGAGTTATATGTGAGTCAAAATTTCAGGAACTGAGTCGCACCGAGTCATAATTGAGATACTGAGTTATAATGAGTTAAAAGTTGAATGACTAAAAGATTAATTTTCCCTATAATTTTTAAATAAAAATTCATTTCATGAAAACCTGATAATTAAGAAATTATATTTATTTTAAATTATATACCTGTTAAAAAAATATTTTTCAAAAAAACAAAATTTAAAAATTTAAATCTCAGTCGTCCATATTAAATTTATATAGTTGGGATGATGTGACCAATGCGATGAGTATTGAAATTGGTTCCTGCTTTGACTAAACCATCTATATCTGATTTGAATGGTTTAAATTTAATTTTTTAATTAATTATTTTTAAATAAAAAACTATTTTTTGAAAAAATGATAGTTAATAGATTATCTTTATTTTAAATTCTACACATATTAAAATAACTATTTTGAACAAATCAAAATAAAAAAGAACTCAAATCCGGATCATCTAAATGAGATATGAAAAATCTAAATTTGATAAGCTTACGGTGTTTATCAAAATAATAAGCACCGAAACTAGTTTTCATCAAAATAATAAGCACTGAAATTAGCTCCACAACAATGTCATATTGCCATTTTAGTACTTTTTTCCCCTTAAAAAAAGTCTCTTTGCACATAGTAAAAATCCTCTGGATTCTTGCATGCTATTGCTCGCATAATTTGAGAAACATGCGGAGTTACATGCGCGCGCGCACATATATATGCACATAGGAATCCGCATATGATGAGAAACCACCTCCTCCTCCCTTTTTTTCTCAAATTTTTTCATTTTTTTTTTTTTTTTTGTATTTGGGTTAACTTGTAGGAAAAATGCCAAATAAATACCCTGAAAATTTCTAAACCCCAAATATGCTCTCAGATACGCAAATACCAAACCAGATCAAGAATACCAATTTGGGATTTGCAAATGTTGCTGATTTACCCACATGTCCTTCTCTTCTTTTACTTTTTCCTTCTTCTCCCTACTGAAGCCCTCTTCCTTGCTGTACTGTCATCCAAGCACTCTTCTGTCTCAAAAGCAACGATCTAATATCACCGTTGTTCAAGGGATTGTGCTGTTTGAGACCAAATCAACACTCCATAAACTGTTTTGCTCCTTTGATCATTGTTGTCATTGCTCTCTTTCCCGCTTTATGGTTCACGGTGGCCATGAGCTCCGACGACAATAACTTAGAGGGTGGAGATTCCTCTACACCTGTGTGTAGCTCAAAGTCTTCAGGAGATGATGAAGATTACTCTGATGCCATGTATGTTTGGCCTGCCTCCACAAAGGACTACTTCAGGGAAGGGATTCATATGGCAAGAAGCTTATTATTCCAGTAGCTTACATGGAGATTACCAGGAGTGAGGAAATTTCTCGCAGGTTACTGATTGAGAACAACAAGAAGAAAGGCGAATTAATGTTTTTTTTTTTTTTTGCTGATGTGTGATTGGCTTCTTCTCTATTTTTATACTGTCCGTTGGAATTTGGCTTCTTGTCAATTGTTATATTAAAGTTGTCAATAGTTACCTTTTTGTTGTTACTGCCAATATGTTATATATCAATGAACTTGTGCATCCTACGATCTTTGTATACATTTTACACTTGCTAAGTTTATTTCGATGTGCAATTTGCAAACTTAAAATTTTAACTTTGTTTAGCCTTTATAACATTTTTACTTACTTTGGCAACAGGTGATTTGCCCAAATTTGTCAATTGCTTTGCCTTGTAATAAATTTCATAGGTCAAGTATAGTTCATTTATATAAAGATATTATTAATTGATATCAAAAAGTTGTGAATAGCCCCAACCAATTGGCGATATATGATTTGCCCAAGTTTGCCAATTGGTTTGCCTTTAACGAATTTCATAGATCAAGCATAGTCTATTTATATAAAGGTATTATTAATCGATATCAAAGAGTTGTCAACAGCCCTGACCAGTTGACAACTTAAGATTTGTCAATTGGCTTGTCTTTAACGAATTTCATAGATTAAGTGTAATCTATTTATATAAAAGTATTGTCAATCGATATTAAAAGGTTATCAACGTCCATAGCAATTTAACTCCAATTACGCAATTCAGTTTTAATTAAATAGTTTGTTAAATTTTTTCACTTTTTATTTGTTAAAGTTTTGCCTCATGATTCCTTTAATTTAGGGCTGAGCAAGCAACCCATAGCCCGGCTACCCGCCCGCAACCCATGAAAACTGGGCCCATTTAAGCCCGCCCAAAAAAAATATAAATGGGCGGGTTTAAGTATTAAATGGGTGGGCTACGGGCAAAGGCACGGGCTGCCCGTACCCGCCCGTTTAGACTTTTATTTTTTTTTTAAAAAAAAGAGGGATCTGACTTGTGAATTGATTGAGAGAGACTTAGGACGCCTCTCCCCTCTCTCTCACGAGCTCTCCTACCCCACTCCTAGTTTCCCCTTAGACTCCTCTCCCTCAGATTGAATCTCAAACTTGAGCCCTCGCGCTGCCACTCACCTCTCGATCTCTCAATCTCTCACGCATACGACGAAGGCGATTAGGTGCACAAGGGACACGTCGCTCACTCAGTCTCAGCACCAGTGTTCCACGGCGGCTCTCGCCTTCTTGCCTCTGGGTCTCACACGCTCCATCTCATCGACATCTGAGCAGTGAGCTCTCCTCTCTCGTCACCTTCGTAGCACGGTCCGTCGGCCTCTTAGTCCTATCAATCTCCCTTGCCTCTTAGCCTTGTCGACGGCATCTCCCACCTCTCAATCTCATGTCGTCGTCTCTCATTTCAGCTTCAAATCTTCCATTTATTTCACTCTTTTTTAGTTTTGAGCTCTTGCCTTTTGGGTCGACATTTATGTGTAAGATTTGAGATTACTTTCATTAGCTTAATACTTGTATTTGCTGATATTTATATGTGATTGCTGCATTGCTAGTAAACACTGAACATTGGTTCTGTTTTAGGAAAGGTATTTCCATTTTTACGTCTTTAAGCTGCAAAAAGTTTAGTATGAATGAGAATATGAGATAATATTTTCATGTCTTTCCATTCTTAAACGAGTTCCCCGTTACCCGCATCAGCCCGCCCAGTTAAACCAACCCATTCAACAACGGGTTTAAATGGGTATCTATGGGTACGGGCTAACCCGTACCCGTTTAAATTTAAACAGGCGGGCCACAGGTTAGGAGCCGGGCAGCCCAACCCGCCCGTTGCTCTGCCCTACTTTAATTAATCATCTGTTATAAACTTCAAATATCACAATTGGAATCTTGGAATTCATTATAGGGCAAGCCAATTGACAAACTTGAGTAAATTACATGTTGCTCTCTTGTTAGGCTTGTTGATAACTCTTTAATACTGATTAACAACACTTTTATATATATGGATAACATTTAATATGTAAAATTCATTACATGACAAATTAATTGGCAAAGTTAGGCAAATCACATGTTACCAAAATAAGTAAAAATGATATAAATGTCAAATGAAATGAAAATTTTAAGTCCCCACATTGAAATAAATTGAGCAAGTGCAGCAAAGAAAGTGGGGTGCACAGGTTTATTGAATATAACTAGGACAACTTTAGTGTAACAATCGACTACAAGCCAGATTTTCATTGACAGTATAAAAATAAAGAAGAAGCCAAACACATATCAGCCAAAAAAAAAAAAAAGACATTGATCCGCCTTCTTCTTGTTATCTCAATCAGTAACTTGTGAGGAATTCTCACTCTTGGCAATCTCCATGCAAGGCACCAAAACAAAAATCTTCTTGTCATATGAAACCCTTCCTTGAGGTAGTCCTTCGAGGATGTAAACCCAACACAAATGGCAGTAGAGTAATTTTCATCATCTCCTGGAGACTTTGAGCTGCACACACATATGCAGAGTACTATCCACTCCCTCAGTTATTGTCGTTGGAGCTCATGACCACCGTCAGTGGCAGTCGCAGAACGAGAATGAGGGCCATGACAATGATTAAAGGAGCAAGAGAGCTTATGCAGAATTGATTTGGTCTCGTGATCAACGGTGATATTAGATTGTTGTTCTGGAGAGAGAAGAATGCTTGGATGACAGTAGCAAGGAAGAGGGCTTCGATAAAGAGAAGAGGAAGAGGGAAGTAGTGAAAAAAAGAGAAGGGCGTATGGGTAAATTATCAACATTTGCAAATCCCGGTAATGGTATTTGTGTATTCAGGAGCACTATTTTGGGGTTTGGAATGTTGAAAGTATTTACTTGGCATTTTTCTTAACTTGTATTTAGCACTTTAGAATATTTTTTAATAAGACTTAGTATCCCAAACTAATTAATTTTTAGTATATTAGAGTATTTTTTTTCAATTAGTGAGTGTTATTAGAAAAGTACTTTAATGTACTGGATATATTAAAAATTAATTTATAATATTAGGTATTACAGGAAAAGTATTTCAGGATATTGGATGTAATAAATATAATTAATTTCGGATGTTGGGTGTTACTGAAAAATAGTAGTTCAGGATGCTTGATGCACTAAAAATTAACTTTGGATATTGGGTCCTACTATAAAAATACTTTAGGGTGTTGAATGTACTAAAAAAATAATTCATGATATCAGGTGGTACTGAAAATAACTCTAGGATGCTAAATGTACTAAACATTAATTAATTAGAATATTGGGTGTTACTGAAAAATATTTTAGGATATTAGATACACTAAATATTAATTAATATGAGATATTGGGTCTTACTGTAAAAATATTTTAAAATACTAAATGTACTAAAAATTAATTAATTTAAAGTGTGAGTGCTTCTATAAAATATTTTAAGAAATTAGATACAACCTAATCTGAATAAAATAAAAAAATTATTAAAAAGAAAAGAAAAGAAAAGAAATGGAGAGGGGCTCGATCATGCCCTGCTCAGCGCTGAATCATGTACATAGCTAGGGCGATCTCAGCAAATAAAACAGTGTTGAGGTTGGATAGCTTGTGTTGATTGTTTGCCTGTTTTGACGAATTAACTGAAATATCTAAAATATCTAGACTCGCTTTGTGAGTCAGCATGAGATGCTCATTGAATCGACGAGCACCTGGTGCTCAGCGGCCAAAAGGTCTCGTATCAGAGACACAGTGAAATGCTGAAAGGATTTCTCTCTCCACACGCATGAAAATTGAGGCTGTAGTCACTTCTTTTTTTTTTTATACTCACTTTTTTTATTTAAATATCTTTATAATTTAAAAAAAAATTCAAACATAACAATTATTTTTTAAAATTAACACACACACACATACTATGTTAAACTTAAACCTTCTACAATATCTTACAAAAAATGCTAACTAGCCTATAGTTCTTACACAAGTTGAGATGCATACTGAAACATTTGTTAAGTAGCAGTATTTTAAATTAATTTACAGTTTATTTAACACCCTAAAATATCTTTTAGTAGTCTATCATAACCAAAATCAAACAAAATATTTCAAGTAAAATCAAATGTCCAAGTGCATTAAATAAAAGAAAAAATCTTATATCAAGTTTTTCATATTTATTATCTCAATTTCTCCAATCTTATACAGCCATGTGTCCTTTTTTGTTTTATATGAATTTATAATTAAATGCTAATATTTTAATAATACAATATGTAATTAGAAAACTTCATATAATGAATATTAAAAACTTGACGTAAGTATTGTCCTAAATAACAATAAAAAATTTAGCCTCCTTATATTTTTAATACATTTGAAAAAATATTTTAGGGTGTTAAATAAATCACAAATTAGTTAGGAATACCGAATGCTACATTAAAAAAATTTCAAAAAAATAGATGTTACTTAGAAAATGCTTTAAAATAATACTAGATGCAACTTAGAAAATATTTTAACATGCATCTTGACCCATATAAGAATCATGAAGAATCAAACTGTATTGTTCATTTTTTTTAGAAATATTTTAGAAGGCCTAATTTTGTTCTAAATATAATTTTGAAAAAATATTATTTTTTTTAACTATTATGATGTTTAAATAAAAAACTAGGTGGCCAAGGCAAGAGGCCATCCACTCCATGAGACGGAAAACTGGGAAGATGGGATGGATAGCCATCAAGGCGGACTTAGAAAAGGCCTTCAACAGAGTCAACTAGGACTTTCTAAGGGAGACGCTCTTTGAAGCAAGGCTGCCAGCTAACTTAATCAGTATTATTATGAGATGCATAACGTCCTCAACTGTGCAAGTTCTCTGGAATGGGAAGCCAACTCCGTCTTTCAGCCCTCAACGTGGTATTAGGCAGGATGATCCGCTATCCCCCTATATCTCTGTTTTGTGTATGGAACGGTTATCACAAGCTATTAAATTTGAAGTTGAGAGGAAAAACTGGCAACTGATCAAAATGGGTAGGAGAGGCCCCCCCGTCCCATCTTTTCTTTGCTGATGACTTAATACTCTTTAGCTCTATAGCAACAGGCCAAGTAGCGCTTATCAACAGAATGCTCGCTGATTTTTGTAACTCCTCAGGCCAGAAGGTTAGTGAGGCCAAAACCAGAGTCTTTTTCTCCAAGAATGTGAGCAGATCGGATGGTATAGACATATATAACAGATTGGGATACAAAAAGGCTAAAAATATTGGGAAATATCTTAGAGTTCCCCTCCTCCATAGCCGGGTTACCAAAGAGACTTATGGTTATATTGAAGAACGAATTAAATAAAAGCTCAAAGGCTGGAAAGCAAAAACGCTCTCACTGGCCGGAAGAATGACCCTCACTCAATCTGTCCTCTCAACTATACCTATTTATGCAATGCAGTCAACTAGATTGCCCCACTCTACTTGTCAAAGGATCACGGCAACTATCAGAGACTTCGTCTGGGGGAGCATCGAGCAGCGTAAAGGCATACCATTGGTCAAGTGGAACATGGTATGTCAAAAATGGCGGATGTGGTCTTAAAAATGTGATGGGACAAAATTCAGCGTTTCTTCTCAAAACTGGCTTATACAATTACTATGCAGCCAGACCTATTTTGGGTCCAAGTCATCAGACACAAATATCAATGGACTCCTTTTCATAAGCCGAACCTTAAAAGTAAAAACAGCTCCCTCCTATGGAGAAGTTTGACACCACTCTGGGAGGAGTTAAGCTTAGGCATAAGCTGGAAAATAGGAGATGGTAAGAGCATTAGATTTTGGTCTGACATGTGGGTAAGGGATCTAGGCCCGCTGAAACACTTGGCCTTTACTCCTCTAGATGAAATCAACCTAGAAAAACCATTGATTCATTTTGCGGCATGTAATGGGAGTTGGAAATGGGATGAGTTTGCAAGCGTTTTGCCTCAGCATGCCCTTGAACAAATTGCCGCCATTCACCCGTTGGCCCATAATACAAATCCTGATGGAGTCTTACTAGTAGCTTACGTTTCACTACCAGGTCTGCCTACAGACTCATCATGGAAGATGACTGGGATGAGGAGAGTGATCACTGGAAGCTTGTATGGAAATGGCTTGGGCCCCACAGAGTTAGAACCTTCCTATGGCTGGCTATGAGCAACAAGTTGCTAAGTAATGAGGTAAGACTCCGATAGTGAATGAACGAACTAGAAGTTTGCAGCATCTGTGGAAGAGAGAAGGAGGACCTGAATCATGTCCTACGGAGGTGCAAATTAGCTAATACTTGCTGGAAGCTTATAGTACCTCCCCAAATTCACCCACATTTCTCAAGCCAACCCATCAACAAATGGCTCGACCTGAATCTAGGCGTCTCCCACAGCAACCCCCCTTGGGCGATTACTTTCGGTTTAATGTGCTGGAAACTTTGAGAAGCAAGAAACTGAAGTATTTTTGAAAGGGAAAGCACTAACCCTTATCGCTTGGTGAATGAGGTGTTAGCTCTAAGCAATCATGTTATACAAGCGAAAGAAGTCCTTGCCAGAATGCGTTTAGGCTGATTTATTTAGGCTGTTTTGTTTTTGCTTTGCGTTACTGCTTCTTGCCTCTGTTGTAAATATCTGTTTTTTAATAAAATCCTACTTTTCATTCAAAAAAAACTGGGTGGCCTTAAAATAAAAAATAATACTCCTCCGATCCTAATTATAAGACCCAATTGATTTATTTGAGAAGATTAAGGAAGTAAGTTAAGTTGGTTATTTATAATAAATAAGTGTTGTTATTCCTAAAATATCCTTGCTAATTAAATATATTGGCTAAAACTATCATTATTAGAAGGATTATCTTGGAAAAAAATATATAAATATAAGAGAGAAAATGGATTGGGTCTTATAATTAAGACCAAATAAAAAGTCAAATTGGGTCTTATAATAAGGATCGGAGGAGTAATAAAAAGAACGAGTAATTACCGCCAAAGGAAGGGGGTGATTGGGGACTGGGGCAGCTGGGCATCAGCCATTTCAGCGGGTCACTTCACTTTCCCTATGATGCGACACCGTTTGACCGCACCTAATGCGGACTCGAAGTATATAACCTCCAAGATCAGAAAATAGGAAGTGAGGACAGGGTAAAAAGAAAACTAAATCTTATACGCGCCAAACTTCGCGCTCCTCTTGTGTGTGCAGATTTGGATGTCTCTCAGTTAACCATTTAGGAAACATCTAAGGAGGTATTTAGATAAAATTAAACTATAGTTTTAGAAGTGTTTTTATAGTATACGAAGTAAATAAATAAAAGAACTTATCTTGATTTATGGAAAAATACTTCTGAAAAATGATTATTAAGGTGTCCAAACACCCCTTAAATAGAAACTAAATTATAATTTTAAAAATATTTTTACAAAAAATTTATCTCATTTTATGATTTTTTTTTTCAGAAATACTTTTGAGGATTGTGATTTTAACTAGTATTGGATGATGAAATACAAATGCTGAGGCACACTCTGTCATCTGCCTGCAATTATTCTTGTTATCTGTCTTCAGTTTATTCAAGCACGAAGCATTATTATGAACCCCTGTATCTCAGTAAAGTCTAAAATTAAAGATGGAAGGAACCAGCGGAACCAGCATGATCAACCTCCAGCCTCTGCATGTATTACTCCGCGCATGAGGCCTTCCACAGGTCAGCCAGAGAAACCAGCGACTCGTACGAGGATCCGCCATTGCGTAACGTTTCAGTAGCCCTCTGCTTCAACTCTTTGGCCTTGCGTCTCACGGCCTTCCCTTCTTCACCTTCTAACATCACCCTCACCGCTTTCTCTATCTCCTTCCTTCCAATTACGCCTCCATCACTCTCGCCTGCTCTGACTGCCATCCCAACTTGTTCCACCAGCATCGTCGCGTTCATCCTCTGCTCCGCGTAAAGCGGCCACGCGATCATCGGCACTCCGTTTGCCACGCTCTCCAGCGTCGAGTTCCACCCGCAGTGAGACAGGAACCCTCCGGTCGATGCATGACCTAGAATCTCCACTTGCGGACACCACGACGGCACCACCAACCCCCTTTCTCCGATCCTCTCCTCAAAACCCTCCGGCAAATACGATTTGGGGTCGTCGGCATCGCTTCCCGCGCTGAAAAACGTGGCACATGCATTCGCGTCGCTCGGCGTTCGAACCACCCAGATGAACCGTTGCTGACTCAGTTCTAAACCCCAAGCCAGCTCAATCACTTGTTCCCCACTCAGAGTACCCCCGCTGCCAAGTGTCACCAACAGCACCGACTCAGGAGGTTGTCTGTCAAGCCAAGCCACACGCTCGGCTCCGGCTTCTTTGATGATCGGTCCAACCGGGTAAACTGGCGGAGTTGGTATCTGCCGGTAGAATGAGTGCTCTCTCAGAGCTGTGAGGGTGACGGGTTCGAGATCCACCCAGGTGTTAAGTAAAATGCCAGCGGCCATGGGAAGGCGGCTGAGGTGGTAGAGATACCATTTGTATTCATCAATCTTGCGATTCCGGACCTGGTCTAACAAGTCTTGGGTTCGGATGGGTGCGCAACCGGGGACCTCAACGGGTTGAGGAAGGTCCACGAACTCTCCCTCAACTTCCCGGTCAAGCCTGGGAAGAAACAAGGAGAAAGCAAGCAAGTGGGAAGAAGGGGTGAAAAACGTGAAGGTGGGGATGGAAAGCCGCTTGCAGGCATCAAAAGCTTGGGTGCAAAAGAGATCAATGATGAGAGCTCGAGGCTTGGGGGTAAGTTCTGCTAGGAGTGCTTCCAAGCAGAGCAAGCTTTGCTGCGCGATGATAGAGAGACGGGCGACGACGGTGGTCTCCGGGGACACGAGGGTGGACACGTCAGCAGGTGGGAGATCAACGATGTGGAGGTCGGGAGGGAGGCGTGGGGAGTGCAGCAGTTGGTTTTGAGCGGCGGAGGCTTCGGTGGTGATGTTGAGGAAGCTGACGCGAAAGCCGTGGTGGGTCACAAGGCGCAGCGCCAGCTCAAAGAGAGGTGTCACGTGACCCAAGCCGGGGCTTGGCAGAACGGCAACGTGCGGTTTCCATATGGCTTCCAAGTGACGGGCTGACACCGCCTCGGTTCCCATAACAGTATCAAAGGCAGGAGAGGGAGAGATTGCAAGAACCAGCGGCAAGGGTTTTAAGCGAGAGCTAGCGTGTGAAGCTGCTTGGAGGTGGGTGCTAACGTCTGCATCCTAGTGCTATAAATATACAGGGATTCACAGAGCTATCTATAATAAAAGCAACTTTATTGTAATCAGCTTTTATGGCAAATGCACGAATAATCTTCTGAAATTTCACAAGTTGCAAATTTCTTATAGCTTAGCTTAAGCAGAATCTGCTACCCATGATCAGCTGTGCCTATTCCCTATGTGTCTTTTTCTAATGCTGTATGCAAATATATGGCCAATTGAATCGATCCCGCATCACTTCCCGTTCGGAACAGTTTAATAAACAACTTTTTAATCATAATTTACATAATACGAAATAAACATATGATAAGAGTTTTATCTTGATTTATACTACCTCTGGTCCTAATTATAAGACCCAGTTGACTAATTTGAGGAGATTAAGGAAGTAAATTACGTTAGTTACTTGTAATAAATAAGTGTTGTCATTCCTAAAATATCCTTGCTAATTAAGTCTATTGGCTAAAACTATCATTATTAGAAGGACTATCTTGGAAAAAATACATAAATATGAGAGACAAAATGGATTGGGGTCTTATAATTAGGACCAAACAAAAAGTCAAATGGAGTCTTATATTAAGGACCGGAGGTAGTATAAAATATGTTTATAAAAGTTATAATCATCAACTCAAACAAGTCCTAAAGCTTTCTCTCGAACTGGCGTTTTAGATATTTGCAGCACATAAGCGAGGAGCTGAGCCCATGCATCCAGGAGAGTTTGGACGGAATGGGCGTTTTTGAAACCTAAAATTGGATTGGTAATTTGATTTATGTTTGAATTAACTTTTATAAATAAATAAGTTTATAAAAATAGAAGTTATTTGAATTATTATTAAAAAAGTAAGTTTAGTTGTAAAGGCAATATGAATTACTTGAATAATACTACTTTCCTTGCTTAATATTAGAGCCAATTATAGATTTAATTTTGATTCTAAAAATAAGATCTTAATTTACTTTATTTTTTATATTTATTTATTCTACCTTAAGTAGTCTCTAAGATAATTGCATATGTTAAGTAGTTCCCATCAATAAATAATTCAACACACATGAATACATGATTAATATAGATATTTTTAAAAAAATAATACTCATTTATTATAAATAATTAATTTGTTTAACTTTTTTTAACATTTATAAATTAATTATTTAGTTTTCATTTTAAAGACAGGACACAACATGTAATTATTTTGTCTACAGCGTATTCTCACCAACTCATAGACATAGGGAGTGTTTGGATACCCTGAAAAGTGCTTCTCAGAAGCACTTTTTCGTAAATCGAGATAAACTCTTCTACATATTTACCTCGTAGACCGTAAAAATTACTTCTGAAACTATAGTTTAGTTTCCATTCAAACAACCCCATAATTGTCTAAGTCATCCATATGTTTGTAGGTAGTTTTTTTGACCAGATAGCTAGGTTTTTAGGTAGTTGAAAATCAGCTTTTGGTAAAGCCAAAACTTGATTCAAACACGAAAAGGAAAAGATAAAATGACTAATGTGCTTACGGATCTCTGGTCTTAAAAAAAAAAAAAAGGGATGTGCTTGTGGCTGGAAAAGCAGCCTTCTAGTTCTCCAAACATGATTACCAAAAGGAACCCTAGCTTTTCTGTGGGCTGGTGCGTACTACATGCCTTATCTCATTTCTGCTTAATTATCTACAATTTTTAATTAGTCATTATTTCACACAATCTCCGTTTCCTAACATAAAAGTTAATCTGACTTTTAATTTAGTGTTAAATATAAGACACTAATTCATTTTGTCTCTCATATTTAATCATTTTTCCTGAGGTGATCTTTATAGTACTTACACACATTAAATGTTTCATCAAATATTAAAACTAATACACTTAATTAGTAATAATATTTTAGAAAATACAACACATCTTTATTACAAATAACTAATTTAACACACTTTTTTAATATATCCAAATTGATTAATTAGTTTTTATATTAAACATCAAAATTAATATTTCCTTGTGAAAAAGTCGGTGATACTTTGACGTTACGATCGGATTATTGTAGTGACTATTCTTTTCCATAACCGGCGGCGGGCTGGTTTAAAAGTTAACCCATTAAGAAGTCGATGCCATACCAGCCTTTGACGTATTACCTCCTCCTGCCGTGCTCAATGCAAAACTGAGAAACTTAGTTGAGCGAGATCGTAATTTTAAATATAAAATTTTAATTTAATTTATTTTTAATTTATAATGTTTTAGTTAAAATATTTTTATTGATTGTACGAAATTCTTATCAAAAAATAATTTCAATATACATGACTAAATAAAATTATTTAAGAAAATCAATACATATTTGTTATAATTAACTAATTTATTTTTTTATTTTTTAAAATTAATTATCTAATTTTTACATAATAAGTGAGTATTAATGTTATACTGTGCTACGTGATAATTTGCGGACAAATAATTGATCGATCTGACTGAGCGCCGGCCGCCAAAGAAACCAGTGCATCCATTATTTGGGTATTTTGACTAGCTTGACAGCGGACTGCGATCGCCCGTCAACGTGAAATCACCATCACATCACTAAACAAAAAACAAAAAAACACCACAGCTTCACTCTCATAACAAGTGGTACTATTTATAAAACATTTCCAGCATATTTTATGTGAACAAAAAAATTCAAATTTTATTAATTTTCATTTAAAATTTGATAACTTTCTAACTTTATCCATATTTAATATACATTATATTTTATGTAAATAAAATCAATACAATAATAAATGAAAGATAAAATCGTAAATTCATATAAAAAATTTCTCTCAGTATCATATAAATATGATAAAAATTTTTTTTCTGTTTTATAAATAGCAGCAGAGGAGTATTACTTTCTTTCCAACAGCGTCTCCGTTTTGACACGCGTGCTCCTGCACTTGGATATGTCTTGTACCCTGATTTAATTTGTTGGTTTCTTGATAGAAAAAAATGGAAAAAAAATTATATATTCTTTAATAGATGCTAATATATAAACAGTAAACTAACAAGATAACAGGGCATATTATGGTGGATTAAGAACTTTTCAACTCACTGGATCGAATAGCGTGGTGCGCCTTGCGAGTTGCGTCCCGTCAGCACCCCCTTCTGTACGGAATCTCGCTGCGCAGTCCATAATGATCAGATGGTACCTGTTCTGTTCTTCATGTTTCTCTTTTCCTGCTTTTATTCGGATTCTTAATTCCATCACTAACACAACTATATATAAGATATCAAGATCCTCAATCATGGTTCGTGCATAACAAATATAATGTCTGCTTTTAATCCATCTGGCCATACGGTCGCCAGCCCCTGCCCATTCGTTTGGAATCGTATTAAGCATCTTCATTATCCCTGCCCTTTATGCCCAGCAATCCATCGAGACATAAGAGGTGTTTAGATAAAACCAAATCATAGTTTCAGAAGTGCTTTTAGAGTTTACAAAATAAATATGTGGAGGAGTTTGTCTCGTTTTGAAGAAAAGTGTTTCTTAGAAATATTTTTAAAGATTACCAAACACTCCCGTAAAAATACGGATATTGTGTAAATATAAAGGAATCATTCTCGTGAACCTTGTAAAACTCACCAAAATCAGAAAGTTTAACGTAGTGAAACAATCTTATGTGTTTTATCGTACATCATACAAATTCAAAAATATTTTATTTCAGCTTTTACAAGCTACTTACTGTTTCATTCGGGAAAAAAAAACTACTTACTGTTTGGTATTATACTGACTTTTATTTGAATTCGAGTTAGTTCCAATCCCAGTAATAACTAATAAAGTTATCCCGACTGGTTTTCTTTTTCTTCATTTACTAGATTGGGATTTAAAGCCGTGCTTATTAAAAGGTATTGAATCGATCTGGCCATTAAAGCACGAACCACTTATAGAGGCCAAACACTACCTCATAAGCATTCGAGTAAACTATTTTAGTTTTTTTTTGGCGTGTAAGAAAATAAAATAGGCGTTCCACTCGTGGGTGAGAGAGGGAGTTTACCCTCAGGGTTAAGGCAGATGATAGACAAGGACGTCACTATGTTAGAGCCCAATAAAGGTTGCCAGCAAATAGCAGCATTTTATGTTTTGTGGATGCCCACTTGGTTGGCTTTATTCTGGTCGTTCTCATACTCGTTCCCTTTCAAGAAAATGGTGCGGACACAAAGAGGTGCCAAAAAAGGCAAAAAGGAAAAAGCGTGAGAGATGATTTTTAAGTAACAAAGACGGCTTGCCTAATATATAAAATATACTACATCCGGTCCTAAATAAAAGATCTCGTTTAGGTCTTATAATTAGGACTTAAAGATAGTATATCTCAACCGTGTGCAGTCTCTGTGACCCAGAAGAAGCCGACTAGCTTACAGTGAACATCACAAGAAGGATGATCATGTCCAGAATGAAGCTAAATTGAGTGTCCTTGCTACTTATAAATTGATTTGGCATTGTCAAGGAAGAGAGAAGATCTCTGGCTTTCAATGTTCGTGTGCCTGTTTTATCCTTCTTTTGTGTCGTATCATGGGCGCGTTAGAAAGAAAGAAAAACCGGTACTCCCTCCATCTCTAGAACGATACATGACTTCTTTTTTAGTTTCATTTCTTTTTATAATACGCGGTTCTCAGTTTTATGATGTTCTAAATTTTGTCTACAGATACTCGTATTTAATATTTTTTTTCCCATCCCTTAATAAATGATCTTTTAAACCTGGTTGAAATATAGATATATGATCTTTTTTTTTTCCTGGTAAGTACAATTATCCTCTTATTGGAGGTAATTTTGTTCGAGGCACTGTCGGATACTAAATATAGGCATTTCTTCTGACAAGGATAAAATATAATGATTTTTAATATAAGAGATAATTAACTAATTTGAGTAAATTAAAAAAGTTTGTTAACTTAGTTATTTATATTTAGAATAATATCATTGTTAAATCAAGTATATTACTTATAACTATTATTTGATGGAACATTTAATATGTACAACTACAACAAAGATTATTTTGAAATAAATAGATAAATATAAGAGATGAAATAAATTAAAATATTATATCTA